ACAGAGGGAAATGTCACTTCTATTCAAGATTGTTAGAAACCCCTAGAAACCTATTTTTATTATGAAGTTCTTCCTGCTGTCTAATCAAGTCCTTCTTGCTGCAGCAGAAAGCTCTTTTTCTCTTAGCAGGACCTCAGGAAAGATGGAGAGCAGGGCCAGCCTCTTTCAGGTGACACCTAAAGTATTTCCAGCATTCCTTTCTCAGATGGGAGCACTCAGGCTCTTTGCTGCCTGTTCCTGGTACGGACGGGGTCAGGGTCTGCTCTCAGGTACCCCTTCTCCCCAAATAGCAGAGCAGGCCAGGGGCAAGCTCACCGAAGAAGTGGACGACGAAGCCTTGCTGGTAACCCAGCACTGAAGCCCCGGGGTCTGACTGGAATTGGATGGTGACATCAGCCATAGAGGTAAAGAGCTTGAAATGGCCACGGGGCCCCGAGTACTGGCCCAAAACCCGGGCTGTCAGGTCATCCCCATCGTAGAAGGTAAGCACGTCACCAGGGCCAATGCGCAGCCTGTAGAGGGAGACTATCAGGGCAGGGCCAGCCAGGCCAGGGGACTACAGGGTGGGTTGGACAGGAGGGCGGGCTTAACTGGCCAGTGGGCACTCACACACGGATGTCCAGCATAATACGCTTGTCCTCCTCCACATGCACACCCCAGATGCAGTCCTGCCCACGGCCATAGGGCTCAGGCCAATTGGGGGAGAGCACCACGCCGGCCGAGTCTGTGATCTCCCCGCTGCACACGGCTGGAAGGCAGGGGAGGCCCGGGAGGCGCGTCCCCTCCGCGTTCCCCCCAGTGCCATGTCCTGGGGCTGCCACCTGCCCACAGGAGTTCTTGCCCATTGCTGAGAACCCACTCCCTCTGGAGAAGCTGAATCACACCTGTTAGCAGGCTTTGTGCTCCCCGGTTCCCTGGCTGGCTCTCTGGTGCCCACCCTTCTCCCTGATGCCACAGGCCCAGCCACTGGTGCCTACTGACCTCGACAGGCCGGCTCTGTCTCATTCCACTGGGGATCATGGGGGTCAACACATTCGATGATGATGGAGCCCTGCTCCAGGGTGTAGCCAGGGTCACAGCTGAACTCCACAGTTGTACCCACAGGGTATGAGGGTGCACTGCTGCTGAAGTTGCCATATTTGACGAAAGGCTGGTAGCAATGACCCTGCTGGAAAGCTGTCAAGCACATGGCCCAGTCCAGCTCAGCCTCAGCTGGGGCCAACAAAGGGAACAGACATCTTGCTCCCCCAGGGCCTTTCTCTTCCTAAATATTCATGGGTAAATTTATGTCCTGGGCTTGGAGCAAGGACAGAACCAGCCCTGGGCCTCCATCCGGATGATGCTCAGGAAACTACCATCAGCACTGTTGTATTGCCAGGGCCTCCTTTTGTGCTCAGTACACAGTTCAGTCAGTCCAGTCCAGTTGCCACTGAGCCGATTTTGACTCATGACAACCCCATGTGTGTCAGAGTAGAACTGTTTCGTAAGGTTTCTGGTAGCTGGTTTTTCTGTAATAAACCAGAAGGCCTTCCTTCCAAGGCATCTCTGGGTGAACTTGAACTGTCAACCGTTTAGTTAGCAGCTGAGTGCTTAACTGTTTGTGCCACCCAAGGATTCCTGGTATGCAGTAGGCATACAATAAATACTTGTTTTGAATGAATGAATGAATGAGCACATGCATATATGTGTGGGTCTAGAACAACTCTTGTAACAATCTCCTCTAAGAATTGGAGCTTCTCTGCTCTTCAAACTCTGAAATTCACCTGGACTAGAGGGGAGGGATAAGGAGATGGGACCTAAGTGCCAGGTGGGCAGGGCCAGAGAGGAAGAGGGTGTGAGACCCAAGAATCCAATCCTCTCACCTGCCCTAGCCCACTCCATCCCCTCCAACTCCCTGGTCAGGCCTCACAGACTCACCCTCATAGCGCAGGGCCATGCCTGCAGCCGCCCCACTGCTGTCGGTACTGAGCTCCACAAAGAAGTGTCGGTCAGAGCTGGTCAGGCCCTCAATGGGCAGGTATTCCACCTCATAGGAATCATACACGGGCGGGGCTTCCACATTGTCGCCATTGCGGATGATGAGCCTGGACCAGGCGTGTGGCTGCTGGGTGACTGGTTCCTGAACCAGGTGTGACCCCTCCAGAGGGATATTCCCAGGCAGATACTCCCATCCCATTGTGACAACCCCTCACCTGTCATCATCCTCTGCCAGAGAAACCTTCTCGAAGTGCAGGTGCAGCCGCTGGCCCTCAGGAGCCTCAAGCAGCCAATGGCAGGTGAGGTTGTTGCTGTAGTTGCCCGGGAAGCCCGGAGAGACAATGCGGCCAATGGTGGTGTTGCGAATCACCCCACCGCAGGCAGCTGCAAGACAAGGACCAGGATCCTAGGTGGGAACACTGACTGGACCCTAAGTAACCTCACTGTTCTGGGCCCAAACAAACTCTCCCTCCCCATCTCAGCTCTGTGCCCTCTGTAGAGGGTTATTGTTGTTGTTAAGTGCCGTCGAGTTTGTTCCGACCCATAGCGACCCTGTATAGGATTTCTGAGGAGCAGCTGGTGAGCTTGAACCACCGACCTTGTAGTTCAAACGGCTTTGCAGTCTGGCGCATTAACCCACACTGCTACACCAGGACTCCCTGTAGAGGGTGCTGCTGCTGTGCTGTACCATCAATTCGGTTCTGACCCATAGCGACCCTGTATAGGGTTTCCGAGGAGCAGATGGTGAACTTGAACCGCCGACCATAAAGTCAAACGGCTTTGCAGTCTGGCGCATTAACCCACTGTGCCACCAACCCTTTATCCCTGTGACTGCTGTTCCAGGAAGCCTGCACTTCCACCAGAACTCTCTCTCTGAATCTCTCATACCCCTAGGGCTCTTCACCTGCAAGTCTCTGGACTGTAGGTGGTTCTGGGTAAATCACTTCCGCTTTCTACCAACTTCTACAGGCAGCCTTTCCTGATTTCCCCAGGCAGAGAGTATTAAAGCCTTTGGCTCTAATCTTCTTGGGTATATCCTCTGTCTGTACTTCATGTCATTCTCCTAAAACTAGTTATTTGCTTGGGTATGACCCTTAACTAGGACTCCCTAGGGTGGGAACCAGGTCTTTTTAGGCCAAACATAATTGGTTTTGATGTTTGTTGAGTAAAACAAATGAGTGACTGTCAAAATAGAGGTATGGTTAGATCAGGGAGGACAAACACCTGGCGTGTATGCCATCCAGCCCAGAATCTGTGCCCTTAGCACACATTACTGAGCTGACTGGTGGCTTGAAGCACTTTTTGAATGTGTATCCAGGCATCCTAGTGTGGCACTGTGTGCTAATGTGCTGGACTGCAAAGTTGGTTTGAACCACAAGGTCTCTGGTTCAAGCTCACCAATTACTCCTTGGAAAGCCTATATAGGGTCACTGTGGATCGGAACTGACTCAACGGCACTTAACAACAACAACAACAATCCAGGAGTCATTGCCATGATCATGGCTACTCTGCTCCCTGGTGCCAGGAACTATCTTTTCTTTCTCTTCTGAGCAGCTTGCCTGTCCCCACCAGTGAGGATTGCTGAGTGACAAACTCTTGCCATTAAGGAGTCAGAGAAAGGCCTCCTGCAGAAGGAATACAACTGGTTCCAAGCCATACTTCCCTCTCCTGGACACAAAGCTCAGGGCCCTGCAGGCTCTGAGAGTCTAGCCAGCTTGACTGATACACAGCACCTTTGTCTAAATGCTCAAGGCAACTGGATATTTTAACACAGTGAAATTCTTGGGGAAGTCCTGGTGTGGCGCTGTAGGCTAAGTACTAGACTGCTAACTACAAGGTTGTGGTTCAAAACCCTTGCTATGAGTTGGAACACATAACAACAACAAAGCTCTTGGAGGTGGAGGGGTACGTTTCTTCTCTGCAGAGGGCAGAGTCACCTTTCTGCTTGGTTTCAGAATGTAACTGCCTTTCAAATTGGATCATGTTCCATCCTTTGCTTAAAATTCTTCAGCGGCTCCCTATTATCCTCAGAATTCAGCCTCCTCTCCCCTCAGCCGTCTGCTTCAGCTCACTCTGTTCTTACTCTGCCATGCCATGCCTCTACACCTTTGCATATGCTGTTCCAGGAATCCACCCCACTTTCTCTAGCTAATATTCCCTTTAACGCTCCCTTGCCCTCTCCCTCATTGGGGATCAGCTTTTGCTTTCTAGGACCCCCCAGGTTCCTCCCATCAGAGCATTCTCTGTACTGCATTGTCCTTGCTGAGTTCCTTGCCAATCTTCCCACCTGATGGAGAGCTCCTGGAGAGACTGTATCTTATTCATCTCTGACTGTGCCTAGTACCCAGAAGGGCTTATAGAATGAAATAAGGTTCAAAAGCTCAAGTGCCTCTCATATCCCAAACCAAACACTTCATCTTCCTTCTTCGCACAAGCCCTTTCTACTGGCCACAATCCCAGACCTCCTGATGACCCAGGACCAGAACCTGGGAGTCCTTTGTTCCCTTTTCAGTGTCTCTGGACCCTCTGCTCACCTCTCCATTCCCAAGGACAGACCCTTTTGCCTCCAGGCTCTGCCCCCACCCCCAGATAACTACCTGGCTTGCTTTCCTGAGAGATAGTTCTGAGCTTCTCCCTCCTCCTTTAAAAAACCCTCAGTAACTCCCCAATATCATGGCCTGATGGTCAAGGCCTGCCTCCTAGCCTCTCCATAGGCTTCAGGCTCAGCCAAATCTGCTGTCTTCTGTGTTCCTAACACCCCTCTCAACTCTGTGCTACTGCCCACATTGTTCTCGCCACTGAAATGGCAAGCCTTCAGTGTTATCTCTCCCAGGAAGCCTTCTAAGAGTGATTGCTTCCTCTCCTTCTAGGGCACTGCTTACTTCTTGCTCTGGAATTTGACTACCTAGATGCCTTCTTCCCCTCTTTCCTGGAACTATGGGTTTTTTGAGGGTCTTTTTTTAAACAAATTTTTCTATATCTGTGGTGCCTCCTTTTAGTAGCTGCTTGATAAATGCAGTTCAGATGAATGTCATCGAAATGTGATCATTTTATGGCTCCTCTTGGAGAGTGAGGTTCAGGGACAGTGCCAGCCAGCAACAAAGAACTGTCTCTCAGTTCTTCGCTTCCCTGCTCAGTATCAAGCCCTCTCCCCTGAGGACACTCACCAATGCAGACAGGCTCCTGGGAATCCCAAAAGGGCTGGGTGGCATTGAGACAGGAAAGGAGCCTGGTGCCTTTCAGCTGGTAGCCTGTGGCACAGTGAAAGCGGGCAGTACCTCCTGGGTGGAGGCTGGTGACAGTCACATCTCCATAAGCTGGACGTCGGGGAAAGTGGCAGCTCAGGAGATAGGCTGGAGAGAGAGACAGGGACAGAGAGATGTTATGGGGAAGGAGGCTGAGCCACAGGCCACAGTCTGGGGAAAAAGGGCCAGCCTCAGCTTCTGTTGCCAAGAAGTCTCTTTAGGATCAGAGGAAGCACAGGCATTCCAGAAAGACTCCAGTCCCCTCCCCTGTAGGTGCTGAATCTGGGCTGATGAGTGGAGCAAGCACAGAGCTGGAAGGTAGGAGGCTTGGTTTCTGGTGCAAACTTTGTAACACTTTGGGCAGGTTACTTAACTTTTCTGTGTCTTTCTTCATCTGTGAATGGAAATTAAAAAATGCCAGCCCATCTACAGGGTTATTGTGAGAATAAATGGGATTATATTTCATTGAGCTTGGTATCCCTGGAACTCAAGATATATTTATTGAATGACTTATAGATGAGAAAGAACTTGAAATAGTGAAAAGCCTATGTAAAGTGTTGACATTTTTTTCCCTCTAGAGGACAAATGTGCATTGCAGCAGGAAAGATTGAAGTCAGGCAATAAAAACCTCTCTTTTATTCATGGAGAAATACTAAGACGCTTGATGGAAATGGCTTTTAAAAATAGGATGTGGGCAAGCGTGGGGGTGCAGGGCATGCCTTTTTGGAAGTTGGGGGGGAGGAACAAGTTGCCCAGGAAACCTGGTAGCTTTTGAAATTGTCATTCCAAGTTTGACCAAGTGATGGCAGCAAATCCTACAGAACAACCTGGCAAATCCCAATCTGGAACCCTATGGAGTCAGGTTACTGGTCTGAGAGATGGGGAAGAAGGCCTGGAGGGGGGCCCTTAAGAAAAGTGGCAAGGAGACAGGCTAAGGGAAGGGTTGAACTACATGCTCTAAAAACCCTATGGAGTGATAATGAAGGACTGAGAGAAACTACCTTATCTACCAGGGCATCAGGGGAACAGGAAGAGAGGCCCAGGCAGGCGCTCCACTTGCCTCGATGTGCCTTTGTGTGGCTAGAAACAGGGGTCACTTTTGGGCAGACCAAGGTTCAGACACTTGAGTTTTGTGATTTTCAGTTTTGATTTTTACCCCTCCTAGATTTAATCACTATGTCTGTGAAATGGGGAATGACCCCTATTTTTCCCAGTCTCACAGGATTCTTGAGAGAGTGACTAATGAAAGGCCAATTGTGATTGGCAGATAGTGCTTAGGAGGCCGGCTTTGGAATCAGACTGCCTGGGTTTGCTGTGCCACCTTGGGCAAGTTACCTAACATCTCTGTGCCTCTGTTTCCTTGTTTGTCCACCCATTTAGAGTATTGCATTCAATGTTGTGGAGGTTAAATGAGGGGGCTTTAAAAGTTTGTGGAGAAATGGAACTAAAAGATGATGGAATTTGTCCATGAACTTTTTGAAGCCCTTTTGTAGATGTAGTGCCTGGCACAGAACGAAATACCTAACATATCAGCCTGCTGTTCTTATATATAATCTTGATTAATAATGTACCTTCCAGCTTCTAAAATGCCTTTACACTCTAATTTGAAGTCTGCAACATGTTTGGGAGAAAGAATGGTGAGGTAAGGGTTATTAAGCCATTTTTAGATCAGGAAAGCTCAAGTCCGGAGACAGACTGAGAGATTTTCCCTCATCACACAGCAAGGAAGTGGTAGACCAGGGCACTTGAAACTTTTGGATCTAGAGCCCTCTTGCTTTCCCTCCCTCACATCTGCTTCTACAGGTGTCATGGAAACCTATTTTAGGAGTCAGAGAAGGCTGAGAGGGAACAGCCAGGGATGTTGTTCAGGACAGCCACTCACAATGGCCTGAGGAGGGACCCCAACCCAGGATGGGATGAGGCAGAGGATGTGGGACACTGAACTCAGAATGGGAGGGGGTGAGAGGTTAAGTGATGTGAAGCAGGGGTAGGGAATGGGGGGCATCTAGGCAAGGCCCAGATGTCATGCTCAACACTTGTAGTTATATTTTTCCCTTGAGTTCTCATCACATCTCTGGGAAGGGAGGAACCTCATTTCATAGGTGAGGGAATTGGGCCAGGATGGGCTGAGAGGCAGGAGGCTGGGGCAGATGAGAAGCCCCAGTCTCTATAATGGGTGAAGTGCCACTTTCCTGGGTAAGCTTCTTCCTGTTACCATGACGACTGTTCCCGGGGAGCCTACACCACTGCAATCTGTTGAGTTATTTTTCTCACTGGCGTCTGTTTCTGGGGCCAAGTCCAGTGCCAGGAGGGCTCAGAATGTGTGGAGGAGGATGTCTGTCTGGGCCCTCTGCCTCCCCACCCTTCCTGAGACTGTACGAGAGGAGTTGGAACTTGGTTGGACCTGCAGATGAGTTCTTGTGGGGTCCATGTGTGACCTCCAAAATTACCCTGGCAGGGGTGTGTGGGTACAAAGTCCCTGACCCCTTGGGACCCTTTTTCTGTAGCCCATGGAGATGCATGTGGGTATATGCGCCTCCTGTTCCCATCTCCAGGATCAGGGCTAATTACAGCCTATAATTAGGGGAATTACACTCATTAAGGAAAGAGCTGATCATTGACAAAAACTGGGCCGAGGAGGGAGGGCTTCTGGGAGCTGAGATAGAGACAGGACTGGGCCAGCTCTCCCAGCCCCTCCCTGGAATTGGCTCCCCCTTACCCAGCTTCCCATTCACTGCCGGTCAGCCACCCTTTGTCAGGCCTAAAAGGAGGAGGTCCAGGGTTTTGTGTAAAGGAATTTGCAGCAAGAGAGGTTACCGTGGCGTGAAATTATGCCCGCCACTAGGGAGGATTGATGAGCCATTAGGGAGGCCAGCCGGGAAGCCTAGATGCTCACCCTTGCCTCAGCTGGCCCTTGGCTTCTGCCCAGCCCCTGCCCACCACTCTCGGCTGCCAAAGCTAGGACTGCTGCTCCCCACTTGGGTAGGGAGATCAGAAGCGGGTGACTACTCCTTAGGTGTGGTTTCAAACATTTAGGATCCCCAGAGGAGTGCCTGTCCTTCTGGCTGTGGCCCCCTTCAGGGCTGCGGTAGTGGTCCATGACAATGCAAGACAATCCCATAATTGTACACACCAATTATTTCCCCATTAGTGCCCTCAGTCGGAGCTGGGTTAACCTGCCACTGCTGTGTGGAAGGAGCCAGGGATGGAGATGACTTTGTGAAGGAGGTGAGGGATGGGAGGTGGGGGTGCTAAGGGGAGAGAAGCAGTCTCACCCTTCCCCTTTCTGACCGCTGTTTAATAATACTAGTTTCCTTGATGGGGCATGTGCTAAGCACTGGATGTGCACCGTTTTCTTGAACACTCACTGTGACTTTGCGGGATAGGAATTCTGCTCTCAGTTTACAGTGGAAGAAAAGGAGGGTCAGAGAGGTCAATGACCTGTCTGACCCTGGTCAGGAGCCAATAGAGTGATATGCAAACCCAGATCTGCCCTTCTCTTGAATCTGTGAGTATGGGCCAGGTCCAGAGTGGGCAAGACAGTACACGAAGGCCAAGCTGGCAGCTAAGGACTTCTTAAGGCTTTGTCAAACCCCTTTGATCTTGACCCCTGGCATTTGTAAGGAGGGCTTCTATTGTTATTGCCTGTTGTGTCTACCCACCTCTAGCTATATGGAGCTTCACTGGGCTGTATGTTACTAGCCCCTCTAAGTTTTCCCCCATGGTGTAGTAGTGTTAGAGTGCCCTAGGAGGGCAGCCAGTCCTGACTTAACTTCCCAGACCTACCTTGGTAGTGGAAATAGAAGGTACCGGGCCCAGCAGGTGGTGGGAGACTTTGGAACCTCAGGGCTGCTTGGTGGGTGGGGCTGCGGATGACTTGGCCCCGCAGCAGGAAAGACTGATTGGCCAGAGGCAGTGGGTCCGGCCCCCCTAGGCCCTCCACAGTTACTGTCTCTCCCTCCAGGAGGCTGATGTTCAGGACCTGCCGGTGCAGTAGAGAGAGCAAAGCAAAGTGGTCAGGTTTCTTCCTGCTCCTCTCAGATTTCTACAGACCCTTGGTATGGCCAACCTTGCTGCTTTCAGAGCCCCCAGGACCCGAACTAGGCACTTCAGTAGTGGAACAGCTCAGATGATCTTCCCACAACTCCGTGAGTTAGGGCTCAATATGCAAATTACCCAAGGTCACACAGATATTAGCAGAAGTGGCATTTATAAGCAAGTCTGTCTCCAAAGCCTTTCTAGTACATCAGCTGCTTCCCCTCCCTGGACTCAGTTTTCTCATCCATGAAGTGGGGCTAGAGTAGGTGTGTTGAACTAGATGGGGTCTGAGGGTCTGGCCAGCAATGTGAAGTCTTAATCATTGGACCCAGCTGCCCAGCTGCCCTTGGACATCCAATTGGATGTCTTTGCACCCGGTGTGAAGGGGCTTCAGATATCCAGTCTGCCTCACACTAAACCACCCTTATCAGGGAATGACTTCATCATCTACCAAGTACCAAGTCAGAAACTGGCATCTTGCCCCCTCCCTCACATCCCATATCTAATCAATCCTGCTAATTGGACCCCAAATCAGCCCCACTGCCACCTCTCCAGGTCCCCAATAAGGGGCCTCAGCAGCTCCCTGATGGCCTTCATATAGGGTTCTACCCATCACCCCCAACATCACTACCCTGTGAACTGTAGTCCTAAACCTTGCTGATCATGTGATTTCCTCATTCAAATCCTCCAGTGGCTCCCCATTGAGTCCCTAGAACTTGTTGGATCTAATCCAAACTCCCTCCTGGCCCTCCTGGCTCCTGTGAGTTGCTCAACTTTATTCCACACCCCTTCACATGACAGTCACACTGCTGTTCTCTCTTCTTATGACCTCTTAGCTCTCCTCCCTCGAGCTGTCACTGCAGCCAATTGGAAACCGGCCAGGGAAGAGAGTGTCATGGGATTTCATAGAGAAGTAGGTAGAGGACAGATGTGGAGAGTCTGAAGCAGAGGGACTTTCTGGAGTGGCCTGGAAGGCAAAGGATGGTGGGGATGGCCAGCTTCCCCAGGAAAGGGATAAGGAGGGGTAGCAATGGGAGGTGGTTTGTGGTTGCAGTGCAGGTAAGTGAGGCAGGTAAAGCCATTGGATCATACTGGGAGATTTGGATTTGTCCTCTGGGCAATCTGAAGTCACCAGCAGGTTTGGGTGGGAAAGAGACATGATCTAACCAGAGGTAGTCAGGGCCTGTGGGATGAGTTGGGGATGGGAGAAGTGAGATAGGGATGGTTAGAGAGCTCTCTCCAGGTGAGACACAATGGGTAGAGGTGGGCCATCAGAAAAAAAGATAAAGGGATGAAGGTGAGATGAAGAGAGATTTAGAAGGTAAGATTGGGAAGCATTTGGTAACTCACTCACTGGGTACCACTTATCCAATCCCAGTGGTTAAATGTCTTGTGGTTGTTGTTGTTAAGTGCCATCAATTTAGTTCTGACTCACAGCAACCCTGTATAGGGTTTCCAAGGAATGGCTGGTGAGCTTGAACGGCCGACCTTGTGGTTCAAACCAACCTTGTAGTCTAGCATGTTAACCCACAGTGCCACATCAGGACTCCAACTATCTTGTAGGAACCTTGAATATCATTTAGGATCAGTGCTTCTGAATCACCCAGGGATCTTGTTAGAATGCAGATCATGATTGATTTAGTAGATCTGTGGTGGGGACTGTGATTCTGCATTTCCAACAAGTTCCTAAAGGATGTTGCTGCTGCTGCTGGCCCCGGGGACACATTTTAAGTAGCAAGAACCTATTCCAAGCCATTTTATAAGATGAAGAAATGGAAGTTCAGATAGCCAGCAAACTTGTCCAAGATAACATGGTTAGGATGAGGTTTTAGATCTTGGGTTTCCAGTCTAGTGCTCCTTCTACCAGGTCACATTGCCACTTCCCATCCGGACTGAGTCTGTTTCTGTGTGATCCTTGTTTTATGGAATGGAGCAGCCCAGAAGGCTGGTTCAGGGGTTAAGGGCCTGAAGACCGGTCCACCATCCTCTGCCTCCCACATCAGTCCAGGCAGTCCCTCTGCTTCAGGCACCTGTCCTTTACTTATTTCTATGCAAGTCTGGGGTGACATTTTGGGTCATGACACTCTCTTTCCTGGCCAGTCTCAATAAAGATGTATAGAAAGAATGAATAGCCCATATCTGTGTTCTGTGAGCGGGGCCCAGCCAGGTCCCAGGAGACAGCCTTTCACCAGACTCCAGAGGGGCCAGCTAGCAGGGAGGGGTCCTCTCTCTTGCCTGGGAGGAAGGGACCTAGTAGGTCTTCAGGGACAAAGAGAAGGCTCAAGGCCGGGTGCTGAGGGCAGAAGCGCCTCTTCTCTCAAGGAGTTCGTCCCTGCATGGCATGATTTGGTGGAGGCTGCCTGACCATCTGCTGGGGACATTCCTCAGGGAATTCCTGCTACAGGCGGAGGCTGGATGAGGTCCCTTCAGACTTGGAGATTCTGTGATTCTAGAGTTGGGAAAACAAGACTCACACACGTGGAATCTGTCATTATCGAGAGATGCCAGGCAGCATATAATTCTGCCTTAAGTGGCACTGAATGTACGGCAGGAATCTTTCAGAGGGAAGCTGGAGGAGCTGAAGGCTCAAAAGAGTGCATGGAGCAGGTGGGGATGGAGAGTGCCTAGAAAGGGGGCTGTGAGGAGCTGGGAGGGAGGCCCTTCTCTGCAGGGAAGTGTAGAAGGCAAAGGCGGAGGACTAGACATTAACTTAGTATGTATATTCTTCCTTGCTGCCATACTCTTGACTTCTAGCTTCCTGCTCTGACCCCACTGCTGCCTGGGACCGGAGAGCAGCAGCAGTAGCAGCAATGATTGCTACTCACAGGTCTTGTTCTAGGTGCTTTATGTCTGTTATTTCATCCTCATCTCAGTATTATAAGGAGGCCTGGAGGCACAATGCTTCAGAACTCGGCTGCTGTCCAAAAGGTTGGTGATTTTAACCCATCCAGCAGTTCTGCAGGAAAAAAGACCTGGCTATCTGCTTCTGTAAAGATTACAGCCTAGGAAACTGAATGGGGCAGCCCTACCCCTGTTACCTGAGGTTGCTATGAATTGAAATAGACTTTACAGGCACCACCAACAACAACCACAGAGTTTGATAAGGAAGGTGGTAAAATCCCTATAAATAAACAGAGGCTCAGAGAGGCTAAGGAACTTGTCAAAGGCCACATTGGTATTAAAGAGCAGTCTTGCCTGACAGGAGGCAAAGTCAGCTTACTTCCCCTCCCAGCTTTATGAGGAAGCCGACTTTATTCCCAGGCCCCTGGGCTTAACAAGAAGGTAGATCTTAGCTTTATGTCTTGAGTTCTTATAAGTCATCTTTCCCTCAGAAGCCAGGGAAACTGGGATCTGAGGTCTCTGGGGGGAGATCTGGCCCCCTCCAGTCTGGTGGGGAAGGTGGAGATGAGAGCATGGGGTGGGGTGGGGTAAGAATTCTGGGGGCTTCCATGTAGAAGGCACCCTTTTCTCAGTTAGGAGCGATCTGGGTTGCTCTGGTCCCCTGGGTTTCAAGCACCCACTTGTGTGCTTGCCACTGTGGCTGGAATGTAATTTGTCACTTGTTTGAGGGCTGGCCTGACAGGGGCCAGACAGGGCCCAGTGTCGGACAAGGGGGTGAGGAAGTCTTGATGCAATTTGCAGGCATGTGAAGAGCTTAGGAGACAGATTTAAATGTCAGCTCTGCTCATGAAGGCTGTCTGCCCACACCCCTAGTCAATGACAGGGACTGGGGGAGGGGAGCAGGTAGGGGAAGACAGAAGCAGAGGGAGCTGAGGACAATTCCCACAGGACCCTGTGCTTTCTAACACTGTAGCAGCCTTTGAGGTCATGTCAAAGAGGGAAATAGAGCCAGTTTGGAGGCTGGCTATTTCTTGGGTGGAAGGTATGAAAGACTCAGGTTGTCCTCCGCCAACCTCCAGACATCAGTCTTGCCTGGCCTGGTCGATCCCCATGGAAACTGCCAGTCAGGTTTCCAGCCACATACCCTAATGCTGTGACCCATAGGTGGGAAGATACGATATAACCATTCTTTGTAGACATTTGCTCAAATACAGCTCTGTGAGTGATCTCAAGGATCACTGGTGTGAGACCCCACTCCCACTCCTAGTCTCTGAACCCCACCCTTCTCCACATTAGACTCTTGGTCACACCACTACCACAACTACTACCACCCAAGTAGGCTCTGACATAGACCCACTTGCAGGCACATAGTCCCTCATGCCAACAGCAAAGGCACAATTTCCCCTACAAGGCCCTTTACAGTTTCCACAGCTCTTTCATATCCATAATCTTCTCAGATCTCATCACCTTGATAAGGAAATAGGACAGGCTGTGTCTAGCTCCACTTTATAGATAAAGGAACTTTGTAATTAGGAAGAGATGACCCTTGGGTCATAAAGTAAGTCCAAAGCAACACCAGGGCTCTGAATACCCTGCCTTCATGCACAGTGCTCCAGCCTCCTCCCCAGGGTGGAGAGAATTCCAGGTGGGCTTCCTATGGGTTGGGTCAGACAGGGCAGGACTGAGGAAAGGGGGCTGGGGTGGAACCCAGAGAGATACCTGCCCCTGCCTAGCACTCCCTCTCTGGACTTGTTCTATGCCCCCATGCTGGGGAGGAACATGGGCTCTTCAGTCCTCAGATCAAGTTCCAGCTCCATCATTGACTGGCTGAGTGTTCTCAGGCAAGTTTGAGGTTAGTTGTGTCTGTTAAATGGGAATTCATGCCTAGCTCACAGGGTTATAAGAATTAAGTTAGATCTTGTCTGTAAAGGGCTCAGCACAGGTATCAGAAGAGGAGCAACTGTTCTCTTTCCATTTAGGGGACAAAATGGGCCTCATCTAATCCTAGCTTGTCATCTGCCATGGTGGTAGTTGGATGTGGGTCCACCTCACCCTCAGGTCTGCCTAGAAAGCACTGAAAGCTGGAGTCACCTCCTCGCTGGT